CCTCACCGTGGGCAGAATAATGGATCGGACCACCCTTGCCAATAGACCCAGGTAAGTTGGACTAGCATGAGTTGTGTAGGGCTTTGGTGTGTATATTATGAAGTAATGGGCCTGCTCAGCTTTGCTAAGTGAAGATCTATGACTAACTGGAGCCTCAAGTGTCTGACTGGCATGTTTGTGTATAATAAAAACATTAGGCACTTGTCAGGGGTTCAGGGACAGAGGCACAGGTGAGGGAGGAGACAGAGAGCGAGGGGGAAGAATCCCAGGGCAGCGAGGAAGAGGATGACGATGACTTGAGGGATTCCGTGAGTCTTTCAAGTGAATCGGAGGATTCCCAGAAGGGGGCACCTGTGGTCAGGCCAAGGGGAGTCACAGGGGGGACTCGTCAGGAGCAGGGGACCAGCGGGGGAACCCAAAGTGGGAGCTGGGAGTCGGGACCGGCTTCTCCGCCAGAGCGCAGTGAAGGGGGTGGAGATTCCAGAGTGACAGGAGAAGCAGGTCCGAAAGCAGAGAGGGAGGGGAGATCGGAACAAGACATCCTCCCGGAAGGGGAGGGGAGTAGTGCAGGGAGTAGTGTAACTGTCAAGAGGAAGGTTAGCGGTTGCGAACGCGCGCCAAGTTCAAATGTGGAGGCGCGCGGAAGAACAGGGAGCCCGGAGGAGGAGCCAGGTCCCAAAGCACGCAGGAGGGGGGAAGAGCTGTCTGGGGATTCCGCGTCAGGGGAATCCAGGAGGGGCGAAACCCCAGGGGGCAGGAAGACCCTGCGGAAAAGGAAGGAAAGGAAGAGGTGGAGCAGCACAGCCCTCTTAAACTGGTGCAGAGGAGGGACTGACTCAGAGGGGACTTCAGCGGTCTAAGCGTAACAGACGTGGGGCTGCGCGCCTCGGCTGTGGAGCGTACAATGGACTTCAATAAACATTTTTGTATATAAACTGGACTTGGCGTTGGTCTCTTGTGAGCTGGGACCTGAGGCAGCCCTGACAGTACTAATTCTCCTCAGCATTTCCTCTGAGCTTCTGGGGAGAAGCTGTGGCAAGAGATCTCAGTAATCATGAATTCTGATATTGTTTTGAGCCATCGAGACCTAGATCTATATTACTTTGGGGGATCCCAGTGACTATGTCGTCTTGGTGGGCTCCTGCGCAAGGGTCCATGAGCCACAGTGTGCCAACTGCAGCTGGGTGTGAATGGCATTTGTGTCACAGTCAGCCACAGCCTCAGCACTCGAGAGGGGCAACTTGAAGGTGCCCGTTTCCTCATAGCCCATCTTTCATACCAGATCACTTTTCCTTCCTGCCCATTTTCAGTTCCCCCAAATGTATAAATATTCAGGAGCATGTGCGTAACTGCCATGCATGTTTGTCCTCAGACCTGTGATGGTATTCAGAATGCTGTTTTATTAAAGGCAAAGGGTTTTGTTGCCCTGGAACTCGGCCTGTCACAGTGCCAAAGTGGAAATTGCAAAATGGGGCATTTCCATATTAATCCCCATCCCTACCCAAGACCTTTTGTCATATCAGTTCCCAGGCAGCATGTATTTGGCCTGCACATAAGAGGCAGGCAGTCCCTTGCTTGCTTCTGGAGAGATGTCTGAACTAAGTGGAAGTCGGCTCAGAAATAATAGTATTAGATGTGGCTGCCATCAAAGGCTTTTTGTTCCTTGTCCTGGCTGGATGATGCTATAATAATCTCTGCTGCCTGCGTGTGTGAAGATTTCTCTCTTAGAGGTTTGATCACACACTTGAGGCAGAGAGGGAGGACACACAGCAATATTTGGGAGAAGGCTCACGGCGTGTAGCCAAGAGCCATGCTGAGAAGCAGAGACTATAGGAGCCATTTTGCTTCCAGATAACTGCAGGGATGTGTCGTGTATCAAGAGACCTTGAGCTTGTGGCAAAGGGCATGGAAATACCGCTACTCCACCAGCATATGGCAACTGTCTCAGGGTGAGCTCATCACCTTCACAAAGTGGGGAGTGTGGCATTGTCCCTGTTATTCCGATGTCAAGTCTGGGGGAAACGGAGTAAGATGCTTGATCAACGTCATGCCACATGTTGGCATAAATTGGGTGGCAGCCACTGAGAACCTTGGTTCTGGCAGGCCTTTGATCATTCCAGTCTCTGGCTCATCCTAAGATAATAACATTCTTGTGCAGTTCATCCTCAGAAACAGCTGCTTTTATGTGGAATGCAGAAAACTGCCCTACACTAGGGCAGACCATTGGTCCATCTGGTTCTCCAGGGTTTCAAACAGGATTCTTTCCCACATTTACCTAGAAATTTCAGAGATTTAACCCATGGGCTCCTGTATGCAGTGTGTATGCTTCCATCTTGGAGCTAGCACTCCTCACCTCAGAGTTCTTCCACGTTTTTTGTGAGCAGCAGACCACCACCCTGCACACCCCATCTTCCCATGTTAGTAATACAGATCACCAGCTCTTTTACAATATATGCTCAAGGCTAACAGGAAGGTAGGAAGGCTTCGACAGAGATCTATTCCAGGCTTAGCAGGTAAGTATGGTCCAACAGCCACCAGATTGTTGTAACTGCAGGTCTACCAGGAAACATTGCTGACTTTTGGACATGCTCAACCTTTCTGGGATAGTAAGAGAAGGCTCTTTGGAGCCCTTCAATGGAGGGACAGAAGAAATTGCGTCTTTGCATGAGCTTACCACCCAAGCCCACAAAGCTCAAAAGACTTGGAGTGAGATCAAGTAGCCACTACTATGTCCTGGCTATGTCGAAACTTTCTGTGCTGCGATTCTGTTCATATGGATATCCTGCTACCTTTAGCCTCTGAATGCATGATAAGCCTAACATCTCTATGTACACCCACACCCAGATTTTTTAGTAGTTTAGGGACCATTCTCATGTTTGGGATGGAGATGAATGGCTGGCTAGTCAGAGCCAGTTGTAAAGTGCCCGGAATACAGATAAGTATTAATGTGCTTCAGTTCTTAAGCTGGTGTGGGCTGCCCACAGGGAGGGTCTGGGGAAGAGGTGAGAGATACCCTGCTGATCTCAAGCCTCAGAGGTGGTTTATGCTTCCTCTACTCTTCACTAGTTGCAGCTGGCTGAGAATTAATTCTGCCAGACCAGGAGTTTGACAAGGAGTCATTTATCACAGGCTAAGGCTTTTGTTTCCTCCTTTGAGTACCCTAATCGGCTGAGTAATTTTTCTCTGTATAATGAGGACTGGATGGCACAACCTGATTGGGGCAGGCCTGAGTCATTTCCTGCCTGCCTCCGCATGCAAATAGGCCCAAAGAGTCAGAGGGCACCCCATAATATCTCCACTTCTCTTGCACACTTTCCACATACATTCTCCAAGTCTTTTTTGCTGAATTTTTTCATTTTTTCAATGGTGTCTTTTATGTATCAGTGCTACATGTGTGCACCTATATGTTGTCTCCTGTCTTCAGAATGGATATTGTTCATTTTCCACGGTGAGTCACATTCTGCCGTGTTATATTCTCTTTGCTCTTGTCCTGAAGCCACCCTGGGATCTCTTCACGTTTTGAAGCACCTCCGCTCTGTTTGTCCCTGAAGTTCAGAAACTAGATTTTAGATTCTTTGTGAGATAGGATCAGGTATGAGCTGCGTCCTGGTGAGAAAGTGGAGACAGTCTTGCAAGACAGGAAGCAGCGCCAGTCAGTTAACACCACGCTGCTTGTAACACACCACTTGGGAGTGTTATTACATGCACTCAGTAAAGCGGAAGATATCCGGGGGTTTTCAATCAAGGGTATATCCTAGCCAGCAATAGTCTACTCAGCCTACTCACTGGAAATGTAAGAACTGCATAAGAAATAGCTTTAAAACCCAACTATAAACATTTGGAAGTAAGTTCCATTGTTTCAAGGAGGCATTTACTTCCAAATAATTAAACTTAGGATCACAGAATTTGCATGTTCATTCAAAACACAAGATTTTGCATGTTTATTCAAAAGTGAGTCCCATTGATTTTATGGAAATACTCTGTGTTGACTCTAAACATACCTTGCCTCTCCATGTAATAATAATAATAATAATAATAATAATAATAATAATAATAATAATAATATATACTCCGCCCATCTGGCTGGGTTTCCCCAACCACTCTGGGCGGCTTCCAACAAAATATTAAAAATACAATAAAACATCAAACATTAAAAACTTCCCTAAACAGGGCTGTTGAATTTGGAGTGGGGAGGTGAGGTCAGTGTCAGTTTCATGTCATAGGCATAAAAAAGAAACTGCAAATACTGCTTATCCTTTGACTAGTGTGCGATTCCATTTGTTATATCTCACTCATCCACCCAAGAAATTCCTTTGGTGCAGAATCTGTGGGTGGTCCTGATAGGGTTCTAACCAAATGCACATTAGGTACTAGTAACCTGGGTGGGCTACTAGCCTCAATGGCTATGCTCCTCCTCTACTGTTAGAGGCAGTATGCCTCTTAAATACCACTTGCTGGGAATTATAGGTGGGCAGAGTGCTATTGGACTCAGGTCCTGCTTGGGTGCTTCCCAACAGGCAGCTTGGTTGACCTCTGTGAGATCAGGTTGCTGGACTAGATGGGCCATTGTCCTGAGCCAACAGAGTTCTTCCTATATGTTCTTATGGTAAATGTGTTCAAAATGATTTTTTCCTCCTCCTCTTTATTTCTGGATATAATACCCCCCACCCCTGCAACTTCCCTGTCCCTATATTGTGGACTGAGATGATTTCAATTAATTGCAAGATTCTACTTTGGAGGAGAATGATGTATTCCGTATGACATTAATGCATGAACTCCTACACCGGGTGCTGAGGTGACTTCCATGAAGCCAAACAATTTAGTGCTGCAGATAATTGATCCTGTCAAGCAGAGAGCATGTTGCGCTGGCAATAGCTAATAATAGAAATGACATTAGTACTTTCCGTTTTGTTCTCTCACCTTGGCCCTTTATGGGATTCATCCCACTTGGTGCTGAATTTGCTGTTGTTGCTTCTCCTCCACCTCCTCCCTTCTTACAGACTGAAGAGCAAGGGGTTGATGGCTGGTTTTCAAAAAGACGTGGCCTTGACAGAGCTGGAAGACCCCCAAAGCCAAACGTAACCAGACATGTTCTGCCCTGGAGCGAGCAGGTAAGCTGGACAAAGCACATTTTCAAGGAAGGGAGGTAATCTGGAGGGGCGGGGTGGTTTGCAGAGGGGAAGTTTGGGAAATGATACTAATTGTGCAGTTACCAGCTGTGTGCAAAGGTGAAATCACTGGGCTCAATTCTGATTAATAACCTTAATTAAGTCCCAGTGAAATGAATAACTGTGTAAGAGCAGTACTGACCCTCTTGCCCAGTTCCTGTTCATTTCAGTGATGCTTCAAGGAGTAGTTTCACAATGGATTGTGGCCTTTCACTTCACTCCTACTTTGTCCTCCAAAATAGTGCACCTACAAAGGATGCTTTAAGCAGAGGCCATCTGTCTCAGGCCAGGAGATGTGAGTGGATGACCCATAAGGTCTACTTGTGCCATATGATTTTATGAAACCTAATAATAAAGCTTGAGATACCAGCCAGCAATTCCTCTCTTACAGTATTTGAACCTTTCTTGAACTGCACAATAATAATAACTGAATGCAGTCTTTAGATATTGATGCAGAGAAAATTACAGACACACATAATTAGACCAGGCATCCAAGGCAGATCAGAGGCCAGTGTGCATTCACTCCATTCTGCTCCATCACATTTGGTCCAGCCCATTTCACACTGATTTCCCAGCCCTGTTTTACTTTTATCAGTTCAGGGTAAAGCCCAGCTTGGATTGACTGACACCTGCGCCTGGGCATCTGCCTGCTTAATGCACTCATGCATTATTCAGCCAGCGTTCTGCCTGCCACCATGAAAAGCATCAGGAAGGTCCCGAAGAACTGTGGCAGGGAAGCTGTTGTTAGTGGGATGCACTGAGATGCCCGAGAGGGTAGGTGCTGAGTGATGCTTATGGGAGGAGGATGCAGTTTGATCACAGAGCCAGACCTGGGAGTTGCATCGCAAATGAGCAAATCCCACAGATCAGTAAGCACCACCAGCAGCCAGGCAAAAGAAGTCTGGGACATGCTGTGGCACATAATGGGCTTTGTTCGTTGATTTGTCAAGTGGTTAGGTCTCATTATCTGCGAGGTTTCACGGGAGGCTGGTCAGCATCCTCAGTAGCTTTGTGCAAAATAGCAACCCTGATGTACATGACACCTATTGAGTAGTCAATCCTAAAACGTTTAGCCTCTCTTTCCAAAGAAGGTTCCCCGATGGCTGTGGGGAAGATCGTTTACTACAGACTGGTGGTGCAATGCATACCAGTTGGGGGGCTGCATGGTGCCTTCTTCAGCTGCCCCATTGGAAGGGAAATCCCTCCCCCTCTCATGATATCCTTCCCAGCAGCTTCTGTTTTCCTCAGCTCCTGTGGATTAGTTAAGCACCATTGACTTCACTAAAGCGGCACATCTGCACCAGCTGATGATCCAGCCCTCCATTTGAAGCGCACAACAATGCCCAGAGGGAGCAGCAGCTGAGATGTGCCAGATTTTGATCCACAGACTTGAATCTAGGAAGCGGGGGTGGTCATTAATCACTGTTTGAATGAGGACTCTGTTGTGATTATGGAGAGGAAGATTAAGAGAGTATTGCTATTAGGAGAGGAGCGGGCCCTTGTTAGCATCTCAGAAAGCTGTAGGCTCAGAAGTTACTATAGAGAAATTTGCATCTTATCCTCATAATGATGAGCTGTTTACTGTAGCCCTCCCTGTACCTCTCAGGTGTTGATGCTGCATGAGATACCAGAATTTTTGGAGTCCAGTGTTAGCAGTCCCATGCTGTATAGGGAAAGTTTGTGGTTGCCACAGAATTTCTTTGCCAGGAGTATAGAGCAAGGTTGGAAAAATCTCTCTGGCCATTGCTAGCTCTGTATACTGGCTGGGCTTAGAATACCCGAGAAACTCCTGTCCCGTATAATAATAATAATAATAATAATAATAATAATAATAATAAATAATAATAAATAATAAATTTTATTTATATCCTGCCCTCCCCAGCCGAAGCCGGGCTCAGGGCGGCTAACAACAGTCAAATAGTCAAACAGTCAAATTCTAAAAACATTCTAAAAACATTTCATTATAAAAATTAATTAAAATCAAATTGTTGGCAACCAATTAGGCAAAATTCTGTGCAGGTTGCCAGAGGAGGGAGTCAGGCTGCGCCCTGACCAAAGGCCTGGTGGAACAACTCTGTCTTGCAGGCCCTGCGGAAAGATGTCAGGTCCTGCAGGGCCCTAGTCTCTTGTGACAGAGCATTCCACCAGATTGGAGCCGCAGCCGAGAAGGCCCTGGCTCTAGTTGAGGCCAGCCTAACCTCTCTGAGGCCTGGGACCTTGAGGATGTTGTTATTTGCAGACCGTAGGTTTCTCTGTGGGGCATACCAGGAGAGGCGGTCCTGTAGGTACGAGGGTCCTAGGCCGTATAGGGCTTTAAAGGTTAAAACCAGCACCTTAAACCTGATCCTGTACTCCACCGGGAGCCAGTGCAGCTGGTATAGTACCGGATGAATGTGATCTCGCAGCGAAGACCCCATAAGGAGTCTCGCCGCGGCATTCTGCACCCGCTGGAGTTTCTGGGTCAGTTTCAAGGGCAGCCCCACGTAGAGCGAGTTACAATAATCCAGTCTGGAGGTGACCGTCGCATGGATCACAGTGGCTAGATCAGGTCGAGAGAGATAATGGGCTAACTGCTTAGCTTGGCGGAGATGAAAAAATGCCGCCTTTGTTATAGCTGCAATCTGCGCCTCCATAGAGAGGGAGGTATCGAAGATTACACCCAAACTCTTAACGGACGGTGCTGGCACTAATTGCACCCCCGCAAGAGATGGGAGTTGCCCCCTCGATCCCATATCGTCCCGCCCCAGCCAGAGGACCTCTGTCTTCGAAGGATTTAACTTCAACCGGCTCCCACGTAACCATCCAGCCACAGCTTCCAGACATCTGGTCAGTGTGTCTGGGGCCGAGTCAGGATGGCCATCCATCAACAGATAGAGTTGGGTGTCATCAGCATACTGATGGCAACCCAGCCCAAAACTCCGGACAAGCTGGGCGAGGGGGCGCATAAAGATGTTAAAAAGCATTGGGGAGAGAATCGCACCCTGAGGCACTCCACACACCAAGGAGTGACGCGATGACAATTCCCCCCCAAGCGCCACCCTCTGTCCCCGACCAGAGAGAAACGAGCGCAGCCATTGAAGGACTGTGCCCTGGATCCCCACGTCGGCAAGGCGGTGGTCCAGGAGTTCTTGATCGACCATGTCAAAGGCTGCTGACAGATCTAGAAGAATCAGCAGCCCCGACCCGCCTCGATCCAGCTGCCTGCGGAGATCATCTGTTAGGGCGACCAGAGCCGTCTCGGTCCCATGCCCAGCGCAGAAGCCGGACTGGAATGGATCCAGAGCAGATGTTTCATCCAGAAACCTACCGAGCTGTTCAGCAACCGCTCTCTCAATCACCTTACCCAGGAATGGAAGATTTGAGACCGGGCGGTAATTGGATAGATCTAAGGGATCTAATGATGTTTTCTTTAAGAGCGGACGCACCACCGCCTCCTTCAGTTCCCCTGGGAATATCCCGGTGCCAAGGGACAAATTGATGATATCCCCCAGGGGGGCCCGCACCTCGTCTGGACACGCTCTAATTAGCCATGACGGGCACGGGTCAAGAGGACAGGTGGTGGGCTTTCCAGCTTGGAGGAATCTGTCCACATCAGCTGGAGATATCCGGTCAAAGTGGTCCAATACTGGACCCGAGGACAGTCGAGGGGCCTCCAGTTCCTTTATTGTATCCAAGTTGGCAGGGAGGTCATGGCGGAGCAACAGGACCTTCTCCGCAAAAATGCTCGCAAATGCCTCACAGCTGTGTGTCAGATTGTTATTTAAATTTGGCTGTCCTTCAAGGGACGTTAAAGACCGAATTATACTAAATAATTGCGCCGGGCGAGAGCTAGCGGATGCAATGGAGGCCGAGAAGTAAGACTTCTTAGCGGCCTTCACTGCCATCTCATAGGTTTTCATAAAAACCCTATAAGATGTTCTTGAGGCTCCGTCACGGGCACCCCGCCATACTCGCTCTAGCCGTCTGAGGTCCCGCTTCATTTTCCGAAGCTCCTCGGTAAACCAGGGAGCCCGGTTTCTGCGGGGTCGCAGAGGGCGCTTAGGTGTGATCTCATCGATGGCTGCCAGGAGCTGGGTATTCCAGCCCTCAACAAGCTCAATCAATGAGTCGCCAGGGGGAGCAAGGTCCCGCAAGGCTTGACGGAATCTATCAGGGTCCATCAGCCTCTGCGGGCGAGCCCAAATCGGCTCGCCACCTAAGCAGGGTGGGGGTGGAAAGTCAATCCTGGCTTTCAGAGCGTAGTGATCAGACCATGGCACCTTCATCGAAGGAGACATGATCACATCTATACCGGCGCCAAAGATCAAATCCAGCGTGTGGCCTGCTTGATGTGTGGGGCCCGAAACAAACTGGGAGAGCCCTAGTGTCGCCATGGAAGACACCAGGTCCAGAGCCTGTGAGGAGGGAGTGGCATCAGCATGGAAGTTGAAGTCTCCCAATACCAATAGGTTAGGGAACTCCAAGGCCCAGCTGGCCACCGCCTCCAGCAGGCCTGACAGGGTGGCTGCTGGTGCACTAGGTGGCCGGTACACCAGCCAGACAGCCAAGCTCTCCTTGGAGCCCCACACTAGGCCAACACATTCAATGCCGGGGATCGATGGCGATGGTAGAGCCCTGAAAGGACAATCTTCCCGGATTAATAATGCCACCCCTCCCCCCCGGCCCACAGTCCGCGACTGGTGGAGGACGGAGAAACCCGGGGGCGCCATCTCTCGTAAGGAAACAGTTACCCCTTCGCGCACCCAGGTCTCCGTCACACAAGCCAGGTTGACCCCCAGCGAGATAAAGAAATCTCGCAGGGTGGCGGTTTTGTTGCCTATAGACCTGGCATTGCACAACACCAGTGACGGAGGTGAGTAATCCTTGCTCACCCTACCCTTGTCTCTCGGGATGGGGCGCAGATTGGAAGGGGTACGAGCATATCCGTATCTCGATCCCCTTCG